GATATTTATATATTCATATTTATATCTTAATAAACTAGTTACAATTTATATAAAAGATAGTTTTTTATAAAATAAGATATATATATATATATATATATATATATATATGTTGGGAATTCGTTATAAAAATGATTGATTTTTATAAAGATAACATGTATATGTATATAAACTAGCCATGAGACAACGTTTGTTTTCTTTTGTGCATGCCTTTCTCGAAAATTGTAAGGAGACCAAGCATGGTCTTTTTTTGCCATGCTTGAGACAAAGTTGTCTCTCCTTTTACTTTATGGTCTCCTTTCACTTTTTATCCATTATATAAGAGAGGTCATGGAAGGGTTTTTGATACACTTCTTGCAAGCTTCTTCTTCTTCTTCTTCTTTGGAGTCCCAAAACCGTGAGCATGAGAGGCTCAAAGGGGCTGCCAAATTTCGAAAGTTCAAGCCCTTCTTCTCCTCCATTCTCTTGCATTTTGATGCTAGACAAAGCCCCTTTGTTGCTGCACCTTTGAACATATATTTGGTATATATTTCAAAGGCTTATGAACAACAAATTACAAGTGAATATTAGCATGTTTTGATGGTTCTACTCTTGCTTGGTGGATACTTGTAGAGAACTCTTGTTTTAGAGTTTCATGCCACACGTCATCAACTTCCAACCTCCCATGAGGACCAAATTCCATGGGAAAGTTACCCGATAATCAGAAATTTAACATCCTTTGTCATATAGATCAACCTGAATTTCACTTTCTATATAAATGCATTGACATGACCTCCAGTTAGTAAAAAACAAATGATCTTTAAGTTACTTCATTTTCTTTTCACAACAAAAAGCAGCATGATCATTAAAATAGTGAAAAAGTACTCATTAAATAGAGAGTGAGCCCAAAATTAAGCTTACCTTAATAATAGATTGAAAAAAAAAACATTTTAACAAAGCATTTTATCGAGCAGTTGGTGTGTATCATGAAAGTTTCTTTCAAATGTCAACATCAAGATGAAAAAGGGTTGATGGGCTGATTGTTTTCCTTGTTGGCGTTCTTAACTTCTTCACAGAACATAGGTCACGTGAGTAAATTTCCCAAATATTACAGACATGAACACAAAATCAACAACTTGTAATACATCTTACTATGTGTATCACTTACCCATGTGCACCAAATGTCTCCAAGAAGACAACTACAAAAGATTTGTAAACAGGGTTGACATAAATAAAGTCACCAAATTAAAGGGAAAAATAGAACTAGGGAGACTATACTAACTGACATGTGTGCTTAAATCACCAAAGTCTATAAATTCCAAAATTTGCAAAACAACCCCACAATCAAATTTGGTGAACAAACAAAGGCAGAATCAATTCACAGAGAAAAACAACATAAGCAATTTGCTTTAATTTATACCCATATGATAATACATGACTTCTCTTTGAGAGTCTTCAAACAACTTCATCTTTCGGGTCCCCCTTTTCACTGTCCTCCCTTTTGCTGGCCTGTAAATAAACACATAGCTAATCACAGAAACATACACATACACACATAAGAAAAACTTTAATATTCATTATTCACAAATACGATTGATTGAGTCCTAATTCACCTGGCCCTTAACTTTCACACGGGATACGCTTTTGCCGATGGTTTTGATAATTTTGTAACATTGCACACCTTCAAACTGAGAGTTGCTTTTTCTGTTGAATAATTCTTCAAAGTCAAAGCTTTAGTACACCTAAAAAAAATACAACAAAAAATTTAGGGATGAAGTAGAGTAAGTAAGAAAAAAATTGACTGTTGGTGTAAAGGAAGATCACCTCGAGTAGGTTCTAGGGAAATCGAGAGGTAGCCCTATATACATGATACTTTCGTTGCGTTGATGCCCAAATTTTCGACTATCATTGTCTCCAGATGATTACATCCCTCCTGGAAGACAAATATTCGCTGACAGATGGGGTGAAAAAAGAAGCCGACGACTGTAAATAAATTTTAGGCAAAGCACAGTGGTGGGGGCGACAATGGTAGCAATGATTTGGACTTTCCTTACGATTCTTAGTGTCTGCAAAAGTAAGAAAAAAATGTTTCGGGAAGGGCTATCTAATTGGAGGAAGATAGATGAGGCGGTGGAATACAATAATAAGAACGGCTATCTGATTGGAGGAAGAGAGATGGGGCAGTGGAATCCAAGAGAAGAATCGAGAGATGAGCCGCAGATGGATAAAACAAGAATAAATGTGACCCAAGTCTAAAATAATAAAACGAAGGTTCCGATTTTGCCAAAAGGTAAAAAAATGTGTGGCAGAAGTATGAAAGCAAAAAGTTTCATGTTCAAACATCCCACGAGATTATATATATGTATATATATAGATATATAATATATATATATATATAGATATATATATAATATATATATAATATATCTAATCATCAATCATACTATATTATAAATGAAACATTTTTTCTTCAAACCACATTCATCTAAAACTCCCATGCATTTTTTCTTTCACCACATTCATTTGAAACTCCCATGGCTTTTCAATCTCTTTCTAATAATGATTATAAGTTGGTTAATAAGATTAAATAAATATCAAACCTAAAGTGTAATCATATTAAACTAAATTTCAATATTAAAAAATAGAGTTTACTTCTACTTATAAAGTTAGTTTTTTTAACTTTTTACATATTATACTTAATTTATTAGTTTTAATATATTGTTGGATGTAAACCATTATCATATTAAACTAAATTTCAATATTAAAAAAATATCTTTACTTCCACATGCAATTTCCTTTCACCGCATTCATTTGAAATTCCCATGACTTTTCAATCTCTTTCTAATAATGATTATAAGTTGGTTAATAAGATTAAATATATATTAAACCTAAAGTGTAATCATATTAAACTAAATTTCAATATTAAAAAAATATCTTTACTTCTACTTATAAAGTTATGTTTTTTTAACTTTTTACATATTATACTTAATTATTAGTTTTAATATATTATTGGATGTAAACCATTATAATTTTAAAGCTACAACTTTTGAACAATTTGTATAAAATATTTAAATTATAAATTTAAATATAACATTACAGGACCAACTTAAATATAAATTTTAGTTTAACTTAAACAACCCAAATAATATTTTGTAAATAGTTAAAAAAGTGATAAATTGTTGTGTCTTTCTAATAATCATTATAATTTGGTTAATAAAGTTAAATAAATATCAAACCTAAAGTGTAATCATAAATAAACTAAATTTCCAATATTAAAATAATATATTTACTTCTACTTATAAAAGTTATGTCTTTAACTTTTAACATATTAACTTAATTATTAGATTTAATATGTTGTTGTATGTAACCATTATCAATTTAAAGCTACAGCTTTTGAACAGTTTGAACAAAATACTTAAACTGTTAATTTAAATATAACATTACAGTGTCAACTTAAATATAAATTTTAGTTCCACTTAAAAAAACCCAATGAATATTTTGTGAATGGTTAAAAATAATAAATTGTAGTGCTAAATGCAAAAACTAAATTATAATATCAGTTTAACTAAAATATTTCCTAAAGATATTTGTATAATCGATAAAAGTTTTCAAATAAGTAACTTAAAATAACTTAGAATAACAATAGTTAAAAATAACTCTATATAAATGATATATTATTACCTTTAAAATCAAAAAACAATGTATGATGTTTTAAATAATTATAATGATAGAAATTAAAACGTTAAGAAAAAAAATTTTAAAAAATTAATTAACAATAATAAAAACTATAAATAACATTAAGCCATATATTATGTTTAATTTTATTCATGAATAATTCGCGGGTAGAAGTCATTCAAACGGTTGAGATTATACAATTATAATAGATGTATATATTATCATATAATTTAAAATAATCAATATATTACATCAATTTAGTATACGAATTATTATATCAAATTTAACAACAACGTTATTGTTATATTTTAAAAAAAAAACATACATTTGTAAAGATTTCAACTATATAGGTGTTTCTGCGCAACGCACGGACATTCGTGTAGTACTTATTCTAATAAATGAATAGTTTTAATCTCATTTTGCCAAGTGTCACTCTAATACAACTCTCATTAATATTATGTCATGTGTCATTTAGATATATTAGGCAACTCATTTCAAAATTAAAATTTACATTTTCTAATTATATGTTAAATTTGAAGTTATAATAACTTTAAAAATTTGATATATCTCTTAATTAATAATTTATTTAAAATGACTTATTTAAAATAATTGATTAATAGTTATAATTTTTTATTATAAAAGTTTAATTAGTTTTATAACCGTGGTTACCACGGGTTATAAACTAGTATTCTAATAAATGAAGGTTTTTTTTGCCACTTGTCACACTCTCATTTAATTTGTCAAATGTTATTTTGTGGTTATTTTGAATTAATTATTTTTCTACATGTCATTTTATGGGTAGTTTTTTTGTCACTTGTCACACTCATTTAATTTGCCAAATGTTATTTTGTGGTTATTTTTAATTAAATCTTTTTCTACATGTCATTTTATGAGTTTTTCTATTTTATTAAATTTCACATAATATTTTAATGTAATAATTGCCATAAATGTAGTAATAAATTGATATCAATTCCATTAATGAACTTAACTTTTAATTTCAAAATTCTCAAAATTAAAGTGCATTAATTTTTTTTATTTATTTAAATTTAAAAGATAAAAACATTTTCATTATTTTTTCTTATTTTCTTATAAATTCAAAGTTCTCAAATATTTTAATTTTGTATTTAACCATTTTTATTTAAATTAAGTCATCTAATCACAAGTAATTCTAATTTTATATTTATATTTAATCATTTTTTTAAATTAACCCATGTGGTCACAACTAAGTATATATAATAGTATTCAAGAATCAAACCAAATATTACACCCCATCCAACACCTATTTATAAAAATCAAAAACAATTTCGTATATTCCACCAACCCACCAACCCTGAGTCGGTGATCCGGAAACAATAAAAAACAAGACTAATGAGAGAAGTTGCACACCCACTCCCCAAAACACTTTCTTTTGTGTTTTGTATTGGCATTAGCAGAGAGGAGAGAAAAGGGGGATTGGTTGGTGAATCACTGAATCTGAATCATTCATAATACAAAAACGGAGATGGCATCGAGATTATGGGCATCAAAAGCTGCTTCATACCTCAAGATCTCCACATTCAACAGAGGTTTCGCTTCTGGTAATCAATCACCCCACCTTCGTCGCCTTTACCTTTTTCTATTTCCCTGTTTCCAATTCCTTCTTTTGATCTGATGTTATATCGATTTTGATTCCTCTATTCGATTATCATTCTCTAGAAACGATGTTTAAATTGGATCATAGAAGTTGATATAGATAATAGATTATAGATCCTCTTTAGCAATTCAATTTGTCGGTTTTACATTTGGGCATTTGAAAATCGTAAATTAAATCCGGAAATTCGATGATGTTCATTTCGATGAAATTTGTTTTCAGTTGTGAAGGATTTGAAGTACGCCGAGTCTCATGAATGGGTGAAGGTGGAGGGTAAATCTTGCACCATCGGTATCACGGACCATGCCCAGGATCACTTAGGAGACGTGGTGTATGTTGAGTTGCCGGAGGTTGGCGCCGCCGTGACTCAGGGCGGCAGTTTTGGTGCTGTTGAGAGTGTGAAGGCGACTAGTGATATTAACTCCCCTGTTTCCGGGAAGGTTGTTGAAGTAAATGAACAACTCACTGGTGAACCCGGTTTGGTAAGTCATCTAATGTTGCAACAATCAACTTAAGATTGAATGGAATTATGATAAAAGATTGTTTACATTTTCAGGTGAATGGAAGTCCGTATGAAAATGGATGGATTATAAAAGTGGAGATAAGCGACTCGAATGAAGCGAACTCTTTAATGGACTCTAAACAGTATTCAAAGTTCTGTGAAGAAGAAGATAAGCACTAGAGTTACTTGTATTTGCATGTTTCTTTGTGGTTTGCATTTGGTTTTTTTGTCAATTGTTTGAAAATTTTGAATTTTGAAAGGGGTTTTGCTTACAAGTATGTCAAATGCATCCATCAAACGTTTTTGAGATTCGACAATGTTATGAAATGATACATTTCTTATTGTAATGAAAAAATGGCACAAATGTTGCTAACACATCATAGTTATCTTTGGATTAACTTTGCTTCTTCTTGCTCTTCTATAAACCGAATAGACAGTTGCTATTTCTTATGAGTGTTCTACTACATACTTGAAAAATGAAAAGACATATCCATTTTTGCAACTAAATTTATCATGTGAATAAACTTTACCTCAATTTTGCAAATAATAGTTGCCCATGATTTATATACTTTGGTATGCTATAAGTTTATCATATATATAAACTTAGGGGTGTTTGGGATTGCTTTTCAAAGTGAAAAGTTCTTTTTGTAAAAGAACTTTTTGATTTTAACTTTTAAGGGAGTAAAAGTTAAAAGTCAGTTTTAAAAAATATTTGGCAAATATTATTTGACTTTTAAAAGTAATTTGCCTTGTAAGAAGGTAAAAATCACAAAAAGGTCATGGTTTCTTGTCTTTTGAAAAATCACCAATTCCTTCTTGCCAAAAAATTATTTCCAAAAGTTGTTTTGCAAATGTCAAACATCTTTTAGAATTTTTGACTTTTTAGAAAAGTTAAAAGTCAAAAAGTCATTTTTTAAGCAATCCTAAACACCCCCTTACCTCCAATTTTTGAAATTCTCTAATCACAACTTAAATCCCTCACCAAAATTGCTCAAGTGTTCTTTCATCACCTAGATTAGCCTTGCATTCATATTATTTTGGTCTTGGAAAATATAAAAAATATAAAAAAGACTATTTTGCACTTTTAATTTCCTTTTTATATTACTATTACAGTTTAATAATTATAAAATAAGAATTAGACCCACCACACTCTCCAAAAAATGTTGTTACCGTTTAACAAAAACACATAAATTTCTAAAACATAATACTAGACAAGCCAAAGCAGGTTTATCATTTTATTTTTTCAATTGAAACCATAAATGTATAATAATTATTCTAATTTTTTAACCAGCACCAAACCGTTGTTTTTTCAAAATGTTTTGGTTTTTTATTTCCAATTTTTTAAAGTTTACGTTATAATTTATATTTTTTGCACATCCCTAAATACCACTAACTTCATATTTACTTCAATCACAAGAAATGATATGGTGATATGAAATACCTTTTGGATTTTTTTTTTCAAAAAGGTTTTGATTTCAATTTATGAGGCATGTCAAATGCTTTGTGATTGAAGAAAATATGAAGATGATGGTTAACAAGGGTGTGAAAAAAACCAAAACTATATCAAAAACCGAAAAAAAAAATAACAATTTGTTTTGAAAATGAAACAATTTGATTTTTGGTTTTAGAAAACCGATTTTTTTGGTTCAGTTTGGTTTTTTATATATAAAAACTAAAATAGTAAAATACCAAAAACTATGTCATTTTATGTATATCTTTAATGGATTAATTATCTTAGAAGTAAAAAAAATGATTATGAATTTACGATTTATTGAAAGATCAAAATAATAAACATGTGTTAGTTACGCCTTTTTATTATATTTTAGAAAATTTGGCGTTTTTGTTAATTTTTAGCAACATTATTGAGGGATAAAGCAACGGAAATAGGAAAAACAAAACGAGAAACTAAAACCAAAAAAACTCACGGTTTGATATTTCCACGATGAAAAACCAAATCTTTTTATTCGGTTTTGATTTTAGTAAAAAATAAAACCATTCTAGCTATAACTGTTAACAAACTATGTAATATTTTTCAAAAATTACTTTGTATTCAGAAAAAAAAAATCTTGAAATAATTTTTTTTTAAAAATTAATATGAATGACTAAAATTTCACTTTTAATAACTCTCTAAAATCAAGTTATTAACTTAAGGAGGTGTTTCGATAGGAAAAAAATGAGGTTTATTGCTTATTGTTTATTCCCACCGCAATAAGCTAATTTTAAGTGATTGTATAAAATCCTTAAAAATCAGTTTATTATGTTAGCAATAAACTAAATAAGCATCTCCCTTACTTGTTACTTATTCTCACAGCACATAATCTAATAAGCTAATCCAACGCTAATCCAATTCCAAACACGCTGATCGGCATCTTCCTATTTTCTTACTTCATGCGAAGACACATGTTCTTTAAACCCTTAATAAACCTCACCAGGAACGAATTGCGACCCATTTTCTTTCAACACGGAAAACCTTCGCTTTCCGTGGTTCGTTTGGTGATCAAATCCGAGCAAACAATCCACGCATGTCTTCATCTCTCTTATCTCCTCCTCCGCTGTTCACCCATCCGGTATCTTGTTCGCTCCATGTATGTTATTTCTTCTTTCTGTCTTATTCTTACTGTACTCATACGTGCCCGCAGTTATAATCCACCTTTGAAGCAGCAATTTACTCAATAATATCGTTTAATTTTACATCAATTCAGATTCTTTTTCTGTAAACGGGATTATCGCATTCTAATTGTGGAATCGGGATTTGGCGTATAATTTTAGGTTTCCTGAGGTTTTGACTTGTGTGTTTTTTTTTTCAAATAAATATTGAAGCAAGGGTCTGGAAAACAAAGCTTTTGTGGAGTATTATGGAGAAGGAAGCAGGTTTCAACAAAGAGAATGGTGGTAGTTAAAGCAGGAGCAAAAAGAGTTTCTTTCGATAAAAAATGCAGAGAAGGTTTAGTTGCTGGTATAGATAAACTCGCTGATGCTGTTTCTGTCACTTTAGGACCAAAAGATATATCACACCTCCATCTTACATCAATAGTTATCATAAATTCATAATCTTACTTATGGTGATTGATCTATACAGGCCGAAATGTTGTTCTTTCTGAATCTGGAACACTCAAAGTTATCAACGATGGTGTCACCATTGCTAAAGCCATAGAGCTTCCTGATTCAATTGAAAACGCAGGAGCAGTGCTTATCCAAGAGGTATTTCTGCTAATCAGACATTAATTAGTAATTACCTTCTGTATTCAGTAACAATATTCAATTTTTTTTGTAGGTTGCAACTAAAACAAATGATTTAGCTGGTGATGGCACCACCACTGCAATTGTTCTTGCAAGAGAAATGATCAAATCTGGATTATTGGCTGTAGCATTTGGAGCAAATCCCATTTCTTTAAAGAAAGGAATGGAGAAGACTGTAAAAGAATTGATCAAAGTTTTGAAAAGGAAATCGATTCCAATCAGCAAAAGGGATGATATAAAAGGTAAATTTCTTCCACTTTTTAGTGTTTTCTTCCATGAGATTCTCTAAACTCTAAAGATTCTTTTCTTCCTGTTCACAGCCATAGCTTCCATCTCTGCTGGAAATGATGAATTTATCGGAAACTTAATTGCTGAAGCCATTGATAAAATCGGTCATGATGGAATAATTTCTATTGAATCATCTTCATCAAGTGAAACTTCTGTGATTGTTGAAGAAGGAATGAAGGTATCAAGTGAAATACATCTTGTGATATTTTATTCATACATTCTTTTTATCTTTTTCATTTTCATATTTTAATGTCTATTCAGGAATACTTTCCCTACAGATCGACAAAGGATACATGTCTCCTCATTTTGTCACAAATCAGAACAATTTATCTGTGGAATTTGAAAATGCTAAAGTTCTGATAACCGATCAAAAGATATCATCTGTGAAAGAAATTGTCCCATTGCTAGAAAAGTGTACTCAATTAAGTGTCCCTTTGCTCATTTTTGCTGAAGATATCTCAATATCAGTTCTTGAAACCCTAATTGTTAACAAAAATCAAGGTTTACTTAGGGTTGCTGTTGTTAAATGTCCTGGTGTTGGGGAACGAAAGAAAGCTTTACTTCAAGATATTGCCCTCATGACAGGTAATTCTATTAACAATTTAAATATTTCATATATTACATTTTGAAGACTTGTTTTTATTATTTATATGCCACCTTTCTGCTGACATTTATCATGTTAAAATAGGAGCTGATTTTTTATCTGGAGATTTGGGTTTATCTCTAGAATATGCAACCTCTGATCAGCTTGGAATTGCATTAAAAGTAACTATAACAAGTAATTACACAACTATTGTAGCTCATCCATCCATGAAATCTGAAATCAAAGCAAGAATTTCCCAAATAAAGAAAGATCTTTCAGAAACAGATAGTTCTTATCTTTCTAAAAAGCTCAGTGAACGAATTGCAAAACTCTCAGGTGGTGTTGCCATTATCAAGGTCAGTTTATTTATTTATTACATTTGTGAGAAAGTAATTATAATTAAATAATGTATATAGAATGAAGTGAAAGAATTTTGGTTATAGGTAGGGGCCCACACTGAGATGGAATTAGAAGATCGAAAGCTAAGAATTGAGGATGCAAAAAATGCCACGTATGCAGCCATGGATGAGGGTATTGTGCCTGGTGGTGGGGCCACTTATATTCATCTTCTTGAGGAAATTCCCTCCATTAAAAAGTTAATGGAAGATCCAGATGAAGAAAGTGGTGTCAACATCATAGCATCTGTATGTTTCTGTTTCCTATGTTCTTTCTGCATGAAGTCAAAAAGTCAAAAAGTCAAAAAGAAAACTGATATAGCTTACTAGATTATGTTACTTACTAATCATGTATTACAGGGACCAAAACTGTTAACTAATGCAATTAATAAACTACAGGGACTGAAACTGTAGTTATTGAAATTAAATACTGCAGGGGCCAAAACTGTAATTAATACAAATTCAAAACTATAGGGACTAAAACTATAACTATCTTAAATTACTAACTACAGGGATCAAAACTGTTAACTAATGCAAATTATAAACTACAGAGACTGAAACTGTAATTACTGAATTCAAATACTGCAAGGGCCAGAACTGTAATTAATACAATTCAAAACTACAGGGACTAAAACTATAACTATCTTAAATTAATAAATACATGGATCAAAATTGTAAGTCTGTAACTATTGCAAATTATAAACTACAGGTACTGAAACTGTAATTATTGAAATTAAAAACTAGAGAGGGCAAATCTATAGTTATTTTGAAACTAAAAGCTAAATGGAGTCAGGAACCAAAACTATAACTAATACATATTAAAAACTATATAAAAACTTCAAGGACTAAACATGTAATTATTCCATTAATCCAGGGGCTGTTTTTGTAAGTTTCATTATTAGCATATATCCACGCCGGCAATTGTATAGTATATTAGTATACAGAGTAATATATGACGAAGGGTAAAATGGTCATTTACACATGCATGATGGATTACAGGCGTTGCAAGCTCCTGCAAAACTGATAGCAGCAAATGCAGGGGTAGATGGTGATGTGGTGGTTGAGAAGATGAAGAAACTTGAATGGGAATTTGGGTATAATGCAATGACAGATACATATGAAGATCTTGTTGTAGCAGGAGTCATTGATCCATGTAGGGTTTCAAGGTGTGCCCTTCAAAATGCAGTTTCAATTGCTGCTATAATTCTCACTACTCAAGCGGTTTTAGTTGAGAAAATAAAAGAGAAAAAACCACCCGTGCCTCTTCTTCCTGGAATACATCCTTGAATTATGAATATGAGAGGATTAAGTTTGTGGAACTGTTTTGACTTTTTTGGTCAAACTTAAAAAGGTCAGCTGCGGAGTTTCAATTTCTTACATGTAGACTGCCCGGAAGGTCAAAACCAGTTCGGGCAGGGGTGTGTAAGCTGAGGGCAGGAGATGGAATGGGCATTGATGGCGATTTTGTTGGTTGAAATGGATTTGTAATGATATTTAGAATACAAAGGAATTAGTGGAAAGAATCTTTTATTTTGTTTTTGTTAAACATGAACCAACTCATGGTGCTTGATTCAAAACAGATGAAAATACATCAATGTTTGTTTTAATATCACAATTAAATTTTAATTATTTATATACAAATTATTTGTTTGGTTATATTTATTTAATAATATACATTTTAAAGTTATTGTAAGAATTCTTTTAGATAAATTTGTAAAAAGCTAGTAAATTGAAAGGGAATTTATGAAATTCTAAAAAAGTTTTTTAAAGAAAATAACTAATAATATATAATATACATGAATTCCTTAGATAATACACGAGTATCTTTGTATAATTATATCGTACATTCAAACAACAATTATATTTTCTCATTTTAATATTTAAAAGGTTAATGTCGTATATCGTAAAATGTCAACTAATAATATATAATTTGCTGTCATTTATATTTTAATTGTATTCAATAAGTTACTTATTTTTTCGATCTTCTCATCATACCATTAGAATGTATTTCAATCGGATAATTCTGTATTATTAAATGTCACATTGGACGCAATGTTATGTTATGTTCTGTAGACAAATTATATCATGCTGAATGATATATGATAATACTAGTTCACCATGTGGAAATCTCTCTCAATAGTGTAATGTTGTCACATTGAAAGCAATTGTCCTCTAGAAGGTTGATGCCATACAAAGACAACGAATAATATACAATTTGTTCTTTTAAATCATTTGTATTTTAATTGTATTCGATAGGTCACTAATTATTATTATTATTTTGTGTTTTCATCACACCAATTAGAATGCATTTCAATCAGATAATTTTGTAATACTAGATGTCACATTTGACACAAGTGTCATATCTGATAGACCTAAATGAACAAACTGTGACCAAGGTGAAATCTACCTCAATAATGTAATGATGACATAGTAAATATAATTAAAAGATAGGTGGCTTAAAGAGCAAATTGTTTAATATTGGTTGTCATTTTGCGACATTAACCCATATGTAAATTATCAAACAATATAAATTTTAAAATATATTTGAAACAATTATTACATAAAATATAACAATATTATTATATTAATTTAAAAATTCAGAAAAAAAACCATAAGAATAAACTACGAACATAAATTTAAACTTGAACAACCAAATATAACAAATTAACTTCAACATTATTTCAGATATAAATAAATAATATTACTTTAAATTTGGAATAATGTTATTCATAACACCGATGTTGGTGTAAAAAATAAAGTTGAGTTGGAGATGATTAATACCAAATTTATACACCAAAAATGACAGAAACTTCAAAATAAAGTTGGGTTGGAGATGCCTAACACATTTTGAAGTGTGACATCCTTGTAAGTCGGTTGTAAATATAAAAGTTTATGATAGATAGTAGTATAATATTTAGATAAGCAAGGATTATTAAATAAAATTGTGTATGTGTAGCATATACAACAAATCAAATCACATCCAATTTTATTTACCAATTGTTAGAGAATCAATTAAATAAATCATTTTTAGTTCATATTTGATCCATTTAATATAACTTATTCTTTAAAATTTAATAGGTTATCATGTTATTATTTCATCTTTGGTACGACTTTATATTTTAATCTGTACAACCCATTAAATTGTAACAACTTCAATTGGTAAATTTAAAAGTTGAAAGATCTATATGTTCAATAATCATTTTAGAATGATATTTATAAGAATTTGATTTTTGGTATATTTTTTTTTGAAAGAGGATTTTTGATAAATATTTATAACTCTTGTAATTAATTGAAAATATCACACTAACAACAACTTTGTGAACTAACCACTTTAGCTTTATCCATGATTAATGGTAAGATTTGTGACCATTACTCACATACTTGGGATTATGTCAAAGAAATAATTATGTATCCAACTCATGTTCCGTCATGCAAGTAGGAGTTAGTATTAACACATATAGAAACAACTACGTACATTGGTTATATGTATGATTTCAAGCCTTGAAGATTGGGTAGACTCATGGATGTAGAAGAGTTATAAGATTGGATCGGTACTTTCTCAACGGAAAAGTAAAAGGTCAAATACTTATAACTATAGGACATATTGACATAATGCTAATAGCAAGTCTTATCTAGTTTATTAGGTCATTATGGACATTGATAATTTATCCAACCGATTTCAGCCGTGACCCCATGGGTACTTTTTTTTATCGACTTTATATACGTATTTTCACTACGATCGGTCGAGGCTTTCAATTGACAATACATTGGTCTTATTCAACTTCCATTATAAATGTCATTAATTGAGGTTATTTTATAAGATGATATTGTTTTAGAGTCGTTAAGACCTTTGTCAAGAAGATTTTAATATGAGACCCTATCTTGCTTAACTTGTGGGGACTCATGTTTCTTTCATCATTTGTCAATTTCATAACTTACGGCCAATGTTTTTTGTTTAGACAGATGCTTTCACTTGTCTTGTAATGTTTGTTATATGATCTTTGGTTTAAATGTAATTTATTAAAGATGTTTGATTAGTACGTACGTCTATAAGATATCATTTGATATGAATAGAAATAAAAGAAACTTATTAGCCAAATCAAAATGATCATTTTCCTATGAAATTACTAAACGTTATCTAAAAAGAAACAGAGAATTAAGAAAACTCAAAAAAAGACTCTTATCCTTTCTCTAAAAAACTACAACAAATTTTATTTATTTTGTCATAATCAAAATATAATCTAGATATTAAATCGATATTAATTAAAATATTTGTTTTTTAGATGAGAAGTTGAGGAATAAGTTGATCAGTTGACAACTTGACATTCAAACATATTATAATTCTTCTTTAATAAACAGATTAATATGTTATATACGATTATTTTAAAAATAATCATTAAAATATAATTATCGGAGTAGATCCACTCTTGTTACTTTTGTTCTTGGATCCTTGAGGACGCATTATTTTTCAATGTTCTTGATGTCGGTCCAGGTTAAAAAAACATCTAGAATCGTTACGGGTGCAACTCTTTTGGGGTGGTTTTTCGTCTAAAAGAAAATTTCATTGGGAGGAACTTGGTTTTGGCTACTAAGAACAATGGTGAGTTGGGTTTGGGCTCCTTGAAAGCTCTTAATGCTGCGCTTTTACAAAAATAGAGATGACGATATGTAAATGAAATGAATGTCTTATGGGTTAAACTCATAAATGCTATCCATGGAGTTCAAATTGGAGATCGGTTCGGTGGGTGTTGCTCTCGTGTCAAGGATTTTGGTCTAGAATAGTTGGGTCAATTAATACGAGCATAAGAAATATTTAGTCAAGCATTCCACGATCTTTAGATGTGTAGGTAGATGAGATCAAACTAATTTTTAGTTTGATATCTGGTTCGAAATCCTTATTATCGAGTCTCTAACGGAGATAATGCTTCTTGATTTGGTATCTCTGAAGGAGGAACAATATATATTATATATATATATATTATATATATATATATATATATATTGTTCCTCCTTCAGAGATACCAAATCAAGAAGCATTATCTCCGTTAGAGACTCGATAATAAGGATTATATATATATATATAAGATATATTATATTATATATATATATATATATATATATATATATATATATATATATATATATAACGATGTCTTTAAATGATAATTTGAAGTTTACTGTTAAAGATATTAGGCAGTGGCGGTGCCAGAAATTTTGATATGAGGATACAAACATTGTTAATATATATTCAATGTAGTTATCATATCTTGGGCATTAAAAAATATGACACAATCTTTTTAGCCGGGGTATAATAACATAGAGCATGTTTACAAAAAATATATATATATATATATATATATATATATAATATATATATATATATAACATGGTGCAATATCTTTAGCTGTAGTACCACAACGCCTCATGTAGATTGCCACTAATGTAGATTGCCACTAATATTAGGGGCCATATTCGTTTTGAACCTTCCAACATGTGAAGTAGATACAACATGGAGTCGTATGTGTTACGGAAGATTAACATCTTCATTTGGAGAGCTTGTCTAGATCGTTTGCCTACTAGGCTTAATCTCTCGAAGAATGATTTGAAAATTTCCAACATTATGTGCCATGTGTGTTCTTCTCTTTTGGAAAATACGGACAATCTATTTGTCAAATGTGAAGAGGCAGCTAGAACTTGGAATCTTTCAATGACTTGACATTCAAATTTCGGAATGGCAAACTTTTTTGGATATTTTTTTTTCTTTGGTGGATTCGGACACGATTCAAAGTAGCAAAAGAATTATTTTAAAAAAATTTCTAAAGTATTTTCTCTAAATCCACACAACTTTAGAAATGATCCATTATAAAGAATTATAAAAACAATTTTCATCTAATACAAAATTACAAAATGGTTTCGTTTTTGAGAAAATACTTTAGAAATTGGTCCAAATAGCCTAACAAGTCACATAAATTGACATATAGAGACCATTTCTCATATTTTAAAATTTTACTATTCATTGACATAATTTGATAGGTAGTAATCAAGTTGTGTTATACACAAAATAGTAATTGTAATTTATCAAACCATAGCAAATATCTATAATAAAATTTATCTTAAATTAACATATACATACATATAGAAAGATAGAGATCTTGCAAAAGAAATATCTATTTCCCTATCCTTTGTGCCAAAAAATAGTCCAAAAAACTCATTTTTCCAAAAATAACAAATGAGTCTTTATAGAGGACTATGGGAGTCGTCCTTATTTCGTATGGCTTCTGCGAATTCAACATTTTCAAAAATATATAAACTCAAAAATTTTTACCATTTTTTATCATTTCCTTTTTATGAATATTTCAAAAACGCACTCAAGGAATCTATAAAAATGGCTGAAGATCAAAACCCGATTAAATAATTTTTATGTTTTATATGTTGTATAATGATTTTTTGTTAAACGCCCATGAAAAATGAGTTTGGAAAAAAAACTATGGTAGTTTTTTCTAAAGACTCAGACCATCCGTTATACCCACCACATACCACATATGTGGTGAGTGCTACATCAACACCACATTCTCCTACCACT